GATCTCGTTCAGCACGAAAATGCCCGTGTAGCTGCCGACCCCAATCAGTTCCACGGCAGGTCGTTGATGGCAGATTGGCGGATGCTGCGCGACGCGGGCGCGCTGATCTTGTCCAGCAAGACTTGAACGAAGTCCATACGGGACGGCACATCTGACTCGACAAATGCAGCGATTTCTTCGTCGGTGGACAGAACACGGAACGATTCGTCGTCGTTGTCGTCTTCGCTGGCGGACGACATAATGGACGTTGAACGAGACGACTGGATCCGGCCCCAGCACGCCGACCGAGACGCAGCGGTCGTCGTGCTGGGGCCGGATCCAGGCGTGAAGGACGACGACGTGGCTGTGTAGGCAGACGGAACGAACTCACGCGATGACGCAGTGAGACCTCGGCTGCCCTCGCATCTCACTCTTTCTTTTCTGCCAATCACAATGTCGTATTTTGATTCGGGACCCGGGCCGATAAAAGCTCAACACAATCCATTCATTAGATTTTATCGGCCGAATATCAACTCTCATGGTGTTTCATCGGCCCAGCGGCCGATAAATTCTCAACACTCAGATTGCAGGGTATAGAGAATTCAGGTTGTTTCATGACGAGCTACGTTGTTGAGAATTTGTCGGCCACGTGGCCGAGAGGAAACCCACTAATATGATTGGTTGATATTACACCAGCAGAAAAACTGATATTTCAACATGACCGACCGTCAGGAGACGGCCCTCGACGACATCCGCAACTCCAGGCTTTCGAACGCCACTAAGCTCTCCTACGCAATCGGTATGCGGAGGATCTACGATTGGATCAACACCCTCAGTCAAATGGAGCGCGACCGCATGCTCAGCAGTGACGGCACCATAAGTCTTGTTGGCTTCACCTACCATGACTTACGCGCTTTTATTGTGTTTACCCTCAATGTACGTGATATTAAGGTGGCCACAATGTCAGGCTACCGATAGCGCCACGCCGACAAGGAACCTCAAGTCCGCGACGCCGCGGACTTGAGGTTCCTTGTCGGCGTGGCGCTCCATGATGGGCACAAAGAGCGAGACGAGGATCCGCTCGAATGGCGGACGAAATCGCATCCACTTGCTGAAACCGATGAGAGACAGGAGACCGCCCTGGCGCTGGTTCGCCGACTTGTCCGTGACGAAGCTGGATCTCGTTCAGCACGAAAATGCCCGTGTAGCTGCCGACCCCAATCAGTTCCACGGCAGGTCGTTGATGGCAGATTGGCGGATGCTGCGCGACGCGGGCGCGCTGATCTTGTCCAGCAAGACTTGAACGAAGTCCATACGGGACGGCACATCCGACTCGACAAACGCAGCGATTTCTTCGTCGGTGGACAGAACACGGAACGATTCGTCGTCGTTGTCGTCTTCGCTGGCGGACGACATAATGGACGTTGAACGAGACGACTGGATCCGGCCCCAGCACGCCGACCGAGACGCAGCGGTCGTCGTGCTGGGGCCGGATCCAGGCGTGAAGGACGACGACGTGGCTGTGTAGGCAGACGGAACGAACTCACGCGATGACGCAGTGAGACCTCGGCTGCCCTCGCATCTCACTCTTTCTTTTCTGCCAATCACAATGTCGTATTTTGATTCGGGACCCGGGCCGATAAAAGCTCAACACAATCCATTC